TCATTTTAATAAATAAAATAGTAATAAATTTTAGTAATAGGTTTTTTAAGATTAATTCGATAAGGTTAAAATGAATTGTTGCCTCTGGGTTAATATTAGAATTTGCTTGATAGATGAGTTCTGCTAGAAACTCAGATCTTAAGCTAGCCATAGTACAAATAAAATATTTGAATAATATTTGTTCAGAAGTAAAGTTAGAAAAGTTTTCTTTAAGAAAGTTGAAGAGTTGAAATGATAATTTGGTTTGGAGTTTGGTATTGAGTTTCATTTCTTCTGTAATTGGAAAGTTAGTAAGCTAGTTATATACTAGGTTTGGTTTGGGTTTGTTAGTTTTAGTATAGAGTTTTAGTAGATCTTTGGACAAAATGTTTGCATAGATTAGGGTTTTGTCTTATATAGGTTGAATTGGTGTATTATTAGTATTATTCTTTTTTGAAATTTGTGTTTTGAGTAGGTCTATTTCTATGCTGTTTAGGTTTGTTAGTAAGGTTTGGTCTTCAGTTTGTTTGTCTTTTGCTAAAGGGAAAGATTCAATTTCTATATTTGATAAAATTTCTTTTATAACTGTAGTTGTAAGAGAACTGCTGAGCCACATTGACAATACATATATAGCACAATGAATGTGCTAGAAGTTCATGCAATAATTACATTAGAAATTCAAAAACAAATATACATCACATGAACGTGATATAAGGTCGGAATCATGTTAGCATTAATCATTAGAAAGCGTAATGACATATGTTCAAATATAGTCATAGTTAAGCAATTGTATTATAAAATGAAATATAAAAATGTGTAAAAGAAAGAAAGCTAATTAGACTTTCGCTTGCAATCTTTTTAATAAAGAAATAAACTTCAGTTTATAAGTTTTGTATACAATTGGTTCTAAACCTATCTATCCTTAATAGATACAGTTATATTTAGTAGCAGCAGAAATCAAGTCACCTCAAAATCAATCAAAAAAAAAAAAAAACAATACAAACAAAATGAATGACGAAGATATAAATATAACAGACGTCAACTTTATAAACATATTCAAACAGTTTCTCAAAAATCAAAACTAGCTTAACTAATACCTCGCTAATACAACTCAGCAACAACAAATGACTAATAACCACTTACAAACATTAGTTATAGAAATTCTAAAACTCACAACAATGTCAAGCAGTATCTTTAATACAGATTTGAAAGAAGTAAAAGATGTCAGGTCTAAAGGATTGAATATTCACTTACTAATGTTTAGTAGGAAAGATAGTGAAAATGTCCTTATGTAGCTTCTTCAAGTAGACCTTCTCTTTAAAGCCAAAAAAGTAGAAGATGAGGAGTAGCTACAGTATATTATAACTGGTCTAAAAGATGCAGTATTGCAATAGTACCTAAACTTAGTCTAAGCTGATGAAAGCAACCAACCATTTGCAAGCTAAAAATCGTTCTCTACCAACATTAAAGCTGCATTCCAACTGCCTTATCACTAACAACTATTAAGATGACAACTAAGAAGCCTAAGACAAATATTAACTATTTAAGAATATGCAAGAAGATTCAGAAACCTGCTAGGACAAATAGAAGATATTACCGAACTGGATAAAGTGATGTACTTTACCAAAGGCTTAAAGAATGCCACAAAAGCCAAGGTAAACTACTGAGCATCCGAAAGTTTAGACGAAGCCATAAAACTTGCCACAAGCTACAACTCAGCAATGTATAATGTAAAAGACAACCACAACTATTCCTATAAAAGAAGCCCAAGAGCAAGGAAGAGAGCTGGAGATATAAAAACACTTCAAGCTACTTACCACAAACCCAAGACCAAAGCCCTATACCGATAGAATTAGACAGGAAGGAAAAAGGATGTTCAAAGAATATGAAACCTACAAATGAAAGAAAAGAAAGAGTAATGTTAGTTAAAGAACAAAAAAAAGAATATAAAAGAAAAAGATTATGCTTTGCCTGTGGAAAAAAAGGATACATAGCAAAAGTTTGCTGAAGTAAAAATAAAACAAGAAATGATATTAATCAAGTAGAAAAGGTAGATCTGAAAAAAAGTAATAAAAATAACGAAGATAAAAGAAAAGACCTACTGGAAGCAAGAGAAAAAGATAATGAAAATTGTGAAAATCTTCTAAGAATTGAAAGAAAAGTGCAAGGTCGAAATGAGCTAATTCTAATAGATTCTAGAGTATCTAAAGATTTTATAGATTAAAAGTTTAGTAAAGAAATATGATTAAAAATAAAAGATAATGTAGTACCTACAGCAATAGAACTCGCAGATGGGTCTTGATGCGAGTCTAGAGGAAGCATTTCAAATATTAAGATCAAAATACAAGATTATAAAGATACAAGGAAAGATATAGAAGTATTACCTCTGCAAAAATACGACCTCATCTTGGGAAAACCATGGCTTTACGACCTAAACCCAAGAATTAATTAGAAAGACAATAAGATATCAATCAAAAAGAACAATCATATTTATAAAATCAAAGCAGAAATAAAAGAAAATATGAAAGAATATCAAACAAACTTTGTGTCTAGACAACAATTCATGCAGAAAGTAAAAAATACTGCAGAATTATATACCGTACTTGCTAGAGAAGACATCGAAAAAGAATCTGTAAAAGAAAAGGTATTCGAGTTTTTAAAAGAGTTAGTCAAACAATATCAAGATGTATTTCCAGAAGAATTACCCAAGAAGTTACTGCTAGAAAAAAGTATAGACCACGAAATACCGCTACAAGAAGGGACGTCTCCACCTTATGGACCTATATACAAAATATCAGTTCTGGAAATGAAAGTATTAAAGAAACAAATCGAAGATTACCTAAATAAAAAAATCATCTGACCTAGCACATCACTATATGGAGCTTTATGCTATTCATAGCAAAGAAAGAAGGAATATTAAGAATGTGTGACAATTATCGTGCACTAAATAAACTAACAATTAAAAATTGATACCCTTTACCATATATTAATAAGTTACTGGACCAAATATATAGCACAAAATACTTCAGCAAAATAGACCTTCACTCTGGATACTACCAAATACAGGTTAAAGAAGAAAATATACCTAAAACGGTATTTAGAACAAGATATAGGTATTATGAATTTTTAGTCATGCCATTCAGTCTGACAAATACACTCGCTTCATTCATGAGATTAATGAATGATATCTTCTGTGAACAATTAAATAAAAGTATCATTATATATCTAGACGATATCCTAGTATATAGCAAGACAAAAGAAGACTACTGTAGAAACCTAAAAAAAGTATTCAAAATTCTAAGATACTACAAATTATACAGAAAAATGAAAAAATACGAGTTAGGAAAACAAGAAGTAGAATTTTTAGGACATGTAATCTCATATGAAGGAGTTAAAGTAGACCCAAAGAAAATCAAAACAATACAAGACTGGCCAGTACTAACAAATATCAATGACCTTAGGTCATTTCTAGGCCTTGCAGGCTACTACCAAAAGTTCGTAGCAAACTTCTCAAATATCGTAGCCTCGTTAACAAGATTGCTCAAGAAAGATATAAAATTTGAATAGAAAAAACCCCAAGAAAAAGCTTTTAAAAACATTAAAAAAGCACTAATATCTGTCTCAGTCTTACTAATCCCAGACCACAATAAATCATTTATACTTACAACTGACACCTCAGATACTGCAATCAGCACAGTGATATGCCAAGACCAAGGCTAAGAGGAACAACTAGTAGTATACGAATCAAGAAAACTAACCTCTGCAGAATTAAATTATCTAATTCATGAAAAAGAACTCCTAGCAATTATTCACGTGCTAAAGATTTAGCATATATATCTAGAAGGAAACACCTTCCAAATAATAACTGACCACAAATTCCTAAAATACCTATAATCTTAAGCAAAGTTATTGTGAAGACAAGCTCGATAGGTCAAAACCTTACAAGCCTATGATTTCACAATCAAATATCGACTAGGAAAAACCAATGTAGTAGCAGATGCATTATCAAGAAAACTAGAAGCAAATGTGATAACAGAAGTTAGCATCAAAGAAGACACATACGAAAGAATAAAAGAAGAATACAAAGAAGATACATATCTTAAAAGAATCCTGAAAGCATTAAAAGACTCTAAATGCGAAGAAGCTAAAAGATTAGAAAAACAGATAAACAAATTCGAATTAAAAGAAAATAGTTTATTATTTTTTAGAGAAAAAACAGAAAAACTAAGACTATATATAGCAAAAGAATCTAAAGAATGAAGGCCATTATTAAAAGAAAGCTATGACTTGAATGGGCATTTCAGATTCGAGAAAACCTATGAAGAGATAAGATGAAGTTACTATTGAAAAAAATAAGCAAAGATGTAAAGAAATACATAAGACAATATAATAGCTGCCAAAGAAACAAAAGTGTAATACAAGCCCTAGCAGGATTACTACAACCTCTAGAAATTCCATTACAATCTTGGAAAATTGTGTTGATAGATTTCATAACACACCTATCATGAACAAGAAATAGGAATGATTCAATAATGATAGTAGTAGATAAATTAAGCAAAAAAGCATATTTCATACCTACTAGAAGTTCCATAGCAACAATAGAAGTCACCTAAATCTTTTTTGGTGAAATCTTTAAATACTATGGACTACTATGTTCTATAATTTCTAATAGAGACCCAAAATTTACCAGTAAATTTTGGAAAAGTTCTTTTAAAATAATGAGAACAGAACTAAAGATGTTAACAGTAGCGCACCTACAAACAGATAGCTAAACGGAATGAACAAACCAAATTCTTAAAGAAATATTGCATGCATACGTAAATTACAAGCAAGATAATTGAGAATAAATATTACCTGCTGCTGAATTTTCATATAATAATTCGTTATATAGATCTACAGGTTATACACCATTTCAATTAGATAATAGACACCACCTAAGAATACCATTAAGCCTAATGAATGAAAAGATAAGCTCTACAAATGTGAAAACTGCGCAAGAATTGTTCGAATATTAGACCGAAATGATGAATATAGCGAAAAATTCATTAGATGCTCAAGAAAAACAAAGTGACCAAGCCAACAAGAGACAAAAATACCTAGAATTTAAAAAAGAAGATTTAGTAATGTTAAACATAGCAAATCTAACTCTACAAGAAAATAGAAAAAGACTATCAAAGAAATTAATCTCAAAATTCATGGACCTCTTTAAAATTATACAGAAAATATCGATGACAACTTACTGACTAGAACTCCTCAAAACTTTACAAACCTACCTAGTCTTTCACATATCCTTATTAAAACCATACTATCCTAACGAAGACAAAAATACTACTGAATCAACCTAAGACATTACAAATAAACCTACTGAAGAACAAGAAATTGAAACCATATTAGACAAAAGAACTTACTACTGCTGTTTATAATACTTGGTAAAATAGAAAGAATATTCGATGTATAATATGACCTAGAAACCTCTGAAGAATTTTGAAAAATATAAAGACCTGGTAAAAGATTTTGAAAAATGTAGTGAAACTGTTTTAAATAGGAGAGAGTGTAAGGGAACTACTGAGCCATATTGCACAATGCATGTATCATACAACAAACGTGCTGGAAGTTCATGTAATGATCGCATCAGAGATTTATAAAACAAATATATATCATGTGAACATGATATAAGGTCAGAATCACGTTAGTACAGTTGTCCTCCCCTACAATCACCTCCTATGTAATCACAAATTCTATACAATCACACAAACAAATTCGTTTGTCTAAATTATATTAAAAATCCCTCTATATAATCACAATTGTACTACAATCACTATCACACTCTTTTTAAATGGGTTTATACTAATTTATTAATTAAATTACCTCTTTAAAATCACAAATTATATGTACGATTTTATTGGCTATAAATATTTAACTATGATTGGTCAGATAAATTCTTACCTATAAATTTGCAAAAAAAATTTTTGTGTGCTTAGAAGTTTTTGCAACAATCAAGCTTTACGTAGTCAGTTTCTGCGTTCAATTTTTAGCTTGGCCTTAATTAAAGTTTTACTATGTTCAAGTTTCCTGTAAGTACAGTTAAATTTACCGTGCATAAATTCTTTATAATCAAGGTTTTTTTTATGTTTCAAGTTTTGCTATAAAAATCTATGTTCAAATTTTGCTGCAGTCAAATTTTCGCAGCAGATACATCTCCGTAGTCAAGGTTTCGTTGCAGTCAAGGTCAAGATTTCGCTGTGATTAAGGTCAGTTTCGCCATAGTCAAGGTCAAGGTTTCGCTAGTTAAGATTTCACCGTGGTCAAGGTTAAAGTTTAGCCGTGTTCAAAGTCAAGGTTTCACTGTATTTAGGGCCAAGGTTTCGCCGTGTTCAGAGCCAAGGTTTCGCTGTGATTAACTTGAAAGTTTTGTTGTGTTCAGGGTCGAGGCTTCGCCATGATTAAGGCTTTGTCTTAGTTAAGGTTTAAATTTGCCATAGAGTTTTTTTTTACTTTCAAGAATTATATAATAATGTCAAAAAAAAGAGCAAAAACAGCAATTAGTAATAGCTTAAAGCATGAAATTTGCGAGTATAGCAATAAGTTTCCACATGAAATACAATCAAATATTGCAAATTATTTTAATCAAAAAAATTCAATTTTAAATATTGATCACTCAACAATTTCAAAAATTTTAAAAGAAAAAAAAAAATAGTTGGCGATTGACAATAATGAAACTAGCATGACAACTTTTCGTCACAAAAAAGTTAAGTTCCCATTATTAGATAAGGCTATGCAACTTTGGGTTAAGCAGGTTATAAGTGATCAAATATTTTTGACAGATTTAATCATTAAAGAAAAGGCTGCATTTTTTGCCTGGGCATTAGGTTTGCCAGATAGCGTATTAAAATTTTCTAATGATTGGGTCTATAAGTTCAAAAAACAGAAGAAGCTACGAAACTATCAGTTACATAGAGAAGCCAATAGTGCACTGATGGAAATACTTCTAGAACAAAGAATAAAATTTCTTGAAATAATAAAAGAATATCCATTAGAAAACGTTTTTAATGCAGAAGAGACAGGACTATTCTTTCAGATAGCACCACATCAAACGCTCTTATCGCAACCACAATCAGAATAGAAAAAGGTCTTTATTGTGTACAAGATTAAACCAGAATAATAAAATAAAAAATTATTTGTATGCTGTTTTTAACAGATTTAAAAATTTTAATTTTGTTTTAATTATTGAATTAACTTTTTTAGGATCGTACACGCATTACTGTAATATTGACAGCAAACGCAACTGGATCTGAAAAATTAAAGCTAATAGTTATTGGATCTTCTATTGAACCCCATGCTCTAGCCCGTTTAAATTATGATACCTTACCTGTTACATACCGGTCAAATTTAAAAGCCTAGATGTGATCAGATATTTTTGGCGAATAGCTTATAGAGCTTGATAAGAAGTTTCGCTTGGAAAACTGGCATATTTTGTTGTCAGTTGACGGCGCATCAAGCCATTATAATCCTAATGAATCTAATGAAAATAATGATGAAGATAATGATTCTAATGAAGATGTGTCAGAATCAGACGAAGAATTAAATAGTGAAGAAGAGAAATTAGAAAGTGAAAATTCAGATAATGAAGATGATCATATAAGCTCTTCTAGGAACTCTACTTGACATAGTCATGGTTGCCCAAGGTTAAGTGCTAGTAACATAAATAAACAAAGTGGATGAAATTCTCGTGGTTGTGGTCGTGGTCATAGTCGTGAGCAGGCTTCTTGTAGTAGCAAGGGTCATCGGGGCTGTGCTCGTTCTTATAGACTTCCAGAACCTTCTGAAACTCCTTTAACAAATATCAGGCTTGAGTTCTTGCCACTTCACATTACTGCTCACCTGCAACTGATGGATGCGGGTATCATCAATAGCTTTAAAGCAAAGTACAAAAAAAATACATACGATATATAATTGATCAATTTGAAAAGGGAGAGGATTTAAAAATATAAGGACATATCAATGAGCCTAGTGTTACTAATCTAAAAAGCTTCACTAAGAAAATTTTGCTATTGAATTAAGGTCAAGTTTCACTATTAGGTTAGGTTATAATAATTTTTCAAAAAAAAAAATTTTCTTTAATGCAGAAGGCAGTTTCATAGCACTGCAGCAGATACATACGTAAAATTTTGTGGTATAGATGATTTTTTGAATTGTTATAATTTTTGTGTTACACATAATCTTTGAAATTTGATTGGCCAGTGAAGTTTTTTAGGTAGTAATGCTAATGCTGTAGTGCATTTCTTAATATGGCATTCTGGCTGATTGGACTTTTTTTCTAATTTTAGTTTGGTTTCAACAATACTGTAATAGCACTGCATATAATATCCAAAATAGTATGATTCAATCATTAGATTAGTGTAGTACTCAGACCTATGTATATGCAGTGCTAAATGATAATTGATATTTTTGCTACTTTTCCATATTACCATCTTTTTCTATAGAATAGTTTTAAAGAATTTTATTAATTTAAACTTTCTTGAATTATACAGTTAAAAATTGAATATTAGAGAAGCGATAACTTATGTTGTGAAATCATGGGATAAAGTTGAAACATCAACAATTGTGAATTGTTAGGTAAAAACTAGAATTCTTCCAGAATTATCTGGTGACGAAATTAAAGATGCTACTTTTGCCCTGCAAGACTTGGTAGATTTTGAAAAAAATGAAAATGATGAATTAATCATAGACCTAACATCGAATTCATTAGACCCAGCAACTGAGCGTGAAATAAATAACTTTAACAATTTAAATAATTCTCAAATACTTACAGAGGATACTCTTGATGAAATGCAAATTGTAAATATTGTATTATATGAACAACAAGAATATGAAGAAAGTGACACAAGTGATACAAATGATGAACCATCTGAAGTTTTTGTTGTAGAGGGATTAGACGGTTTAAAAAAATTTGTTAGCTTTTTTGAGCAACAAAAAAGCGATGATTTTAATGTAGAAGATTTGAAGGTTTTCAGGAAATACGTGTCATTGATAGGGAGAAAATATACGAAATCAATGAACCAAAAATCAATTTCTGACTTTTTCTTACCTGTATAATTAATAGCAGATTAATTTTTTTAGAGTAATTTTTTTTTTTTTTTTTTTTTTTTAAGATTTTTTTTTTTTCTTTTTTTTTTTCTCCAAGCTAGAAAATTTTTTGATGTTTTTACGTTATTAGCTTATACTGTTCTCAATTATTCAATTTAATGTTATGGCAATTCTGGTGTCAAATCAGGCATTATAGTTAATAACTGTAAATAATGTGATATCAATCAGGATCAGAGATAAATTACATGGAAGGTAAGATATTGATTCTTTGGTTTTCACTATTCAGCACTGCTTTAAAGTACTGAGAATTTTATTTAAACATTTATTCTTTAATTGATTAATATTTAGTCATATAGATGCGGAATTCGTGAATGTGAATTTAATTTTGAAACATTTTTTTTTTTTTTTTTTTTTTGTGAATATTTTTGAATTTAAAGTAAAATTTTTGGGGTGTTTTTTTTTTGGCATTAGCTTTCTCAATATATTGCTGTCAATATTATTACAATTCCTGTACCAAATTGTTTATTATAATCATGAAATCGTGGATAACTATGATCTGAATTATTTTTATTTAAAGGGTAAGTTATTGACTTTTTGATTTTGCTATTTAGCACTGCTTTATACTGTAGTACCTTCAGGTCTTATTCAAAACCCTATTTTTTAAATTGGTTAGTGCCCGGGTATATGGATGTGATATCTTGGGTAACTTGAGTTTACAAATTGAATGGGCTATGATACCATATGAAGGCAGCACATCTCAACATTAGTAATTCGATTAATGCATTAGTGTCAGGTAGCAGATTGTAAGAATAGTTATAGAATTATTTATATAATTCTCAATAGATTGTAATATTATTAAAAACATATTCACGGAAAGGAAAGCAATTAATCTCGTGAAACAAGTAATAATTTCCTCATAATTTGAAATTTAATCTAGAATTTTTTAAAACTGAGATGATATTTATATAGTTATGCCCAGGTATTATTCAAAAATTAGGCTAATAGGTATAGTAAATAATACCTGAATTTTAATTATAGGGCATAAAATTATTATATTAATATTATAGAATAAGCTAATTAATGTATATAAATTTGTCAGATTATTTTGAAATAATTTTTATTAATTAATAAATTCTTTAAAATCATATTGTGCTGATTATATTATATTGTGTGATTATATAGAGGGAATTCTGTTTAATTACACCTCTATATAATCACCAGATTTTGCTAGATAAACTAGGTGATTATAGAGGAGGATGACTGTATTAGTCATTAGAAAGTGTAATGACCATGCATTTAAATATAGTCATAGTTAAGTAATTGTATTGTAAAATGTAATATAAAAATGTGTAAAAGAAAGAAAGCTAATCAGACTTTCGCTTGCAATTTTTTTAATAAAGAAATAAACCTTAATTTATTAGTTTTGTATACAATTGGTCCCAAACCTATCTACTCTTAATAGATATGGTTACAGTAGTAGTAGTATTTAGTTGAGAGATATTAGTATTAGTTGTTAGTATGAGAGAGGTTAACGAGAGAGAAAGTAGATTTTGAAGTTGTTGCTGCTTTTGAAAGGTAGAAGTTAGATCTTTTTTAGTTAAAGAAAAATCATGAATTGCTGAGAATATAGAGCTAAGATTAGTAGAAGAAAAAGAGTTAGTAGTATTATTAAGAAGATAAGTATAATGATATAGTTTGTTTTCATGAAATATAGCATCATTAGCTAGTCTGTAGTTATTATTAGTGAGTTTGTATTTGATAACAAGCCAGCATTTTGAGCTGATATGTTGGGAGAGGATTGGTGTAAGAGAAAGTAGAATACTTTTCATGATTTCTTCCAAATTTTGAAGAAAGACCTTAGTTTTTTTGTTATTTGAGTTTGTAGTGAGAGTAATGAAGCTAGGAATAGTAATGTTGTATTTAGTGTTATTTGCAAAAATGAAGCTAGTATGGTAAGTGCCACATAGATATTAAATAATAGCAGAGATTTTGGGAGCAAGAAAAAAGTGCATAGCTTTAGTGTTGCTTCAAAGAGTTTTGGTAAGGCAAGTAATTAGTTTGCTTTTAGGTAGAATTAGTGTACTGTTTTTTAGATCTTCTTCATAGAAGGCTACTTCAAAAGTATCAGAGCACTTTCTATAAAAGTAGTTTAAGTCGAGAGTATCTAGAATCTTACTAGTTAATATAGGCATATTGATAGTGTCGAATTATTGATATATGTTCTAATGTGATAAGGTCAGAGAGAGCTTCACAGGAAGGTATAATTTGTATTGTGTAACAAAGGTGAATTGTGTAATTTGTGTAACTTGTATGACTTAGGTTTGTGTAGCTAGTGTGGCTTGTAGCTAGTGTAGTACAAGTCAGATATTGCTAAGTAGTATAGAGTACAAGTATGTAGTACTAAGTTAAAAATAGATTGAGTTATACTATATACAGTACAAATTAAGAGTGAAACAAATATGTAAATAATTAATTTGTATTAAATTAATTATAGCTTAGAAAGAAAATAGTAAATTTAGTATAATTATGAGGTTGACCAGTGATTTTTTGCTAGGTTATCATATAACCTAATTCTGGATTTGAAGAGGAAAAGGAGAAAAAAGAAAAATTAGTTAAGTTTTAGAAAAAAGCTTTAAGATAGTTTTTGAAGCTAGTTTGCTGAGTTCTAGTCCGTTTTGAATAAAATTTATATCAAAATAGAGCTAGTAGTATGCTAGGTACAACTCTATTAATGAGCAAGAGCTGTTAGCTTAGTAAATTGTTGTGAAATTTTTGGAAGAACTATTGGATAGTTATAGCAAAGTAATTTGATATATAGAGGTCTGAGAAGTATAAAACTAGGCTATTCTAAAGCAAAATTTTGTATAGAACAATTTAGTTTAGTAGCCTAAAGGTTATTTACTTAATAAAATATTTAGTTATAGCAAAATGTTTTTGGGAAGTTTTAGTACAAGTGATCTACAGTAAGAGTTGACTATTAATTAATCAAGTAACAAGGCTTTAAAGTTTTACTTTAAAAATTTTTACTATAAAATTTTAGTTCTAAAAATTTTTAAATTTTATATATTTCTAAGGTCTGGCGATCTTAGTATAGTGGTTAGGTTGCCAGACCACCATGCAAGAGGTCTGGGGTTCAAATCCCACTGTCGACGAATTTGAATAATTACC